CTTCAGTTTAAACTGACATCAGCACCTGTTCACAGAAGACTGCAATATTGGGCCTGCACAGGAACCTGAAGTTGAGCTGGTAATGTTTGTTGCTACTTCTGAAATGTGTCACCTTATATATTTGAAGAGAGCACCAGCGTTTCGGGGTAACCTACTACTTAATCTTCTGAGTAATAAGAGTGATTATTATCTTTTGCCCTGAAACTGAAAGTACAAGTTTCCTCCGAAAATTTTGTAGGATTTCAAATTATTTTATCTGAAGATGAAGGCAACATCTTCCGAAATGATATCAGCTGTCTACAGAATTACACGTCATTACATTCTAGATTACCATAATATCAATATTCACCATAATCTTATATGTTCATTATTATGCTAGTATGTCCACTCGACTCTATGGAACAAGGCACTCCTTGACAAGCTGACAGTTACTCAGCCTGTCATGGACTTCTTTTCCTGTTTGGAACCTGAAAGTTCAAGATCATGTCTACATAATCAGCGACGGGTTATTATCCTGAGCCGGATAAATTCATTTTAAACCCCAATGAACCAGTTCAATATTTCTTCCTTTGTCACTCGCATTTTGTGAGATTTCTACAAGACTCGGTGTATTTAACAATGGCTATTTATATGCAATACGTTTTATTTAAGGTGATTTTCTCTCAGAGTAATGCTCAACTCAGATAGGACCAAAAGCTTTAAACCCCAGCAACTTGGAAGTAAAAACGAATTAAAATGAACGAAACAGGTCATAGTATGTAAGATTTGAGGCTTTCACAGCGGTGACTATGAAGAAAGCAGTCTTCTGGAATTTGGCACCGTGTATATGTGGTGTTAACCGACGTTTCGGAGGAACGTATCGCCCCCATCTTCAGGGTAGAAGAAAAAGTATAAGAAATCTGCAAGCGACAACACCGTGAGAAACGGTAAAGCAGTCTGCTTTACCGTTTCTCATGGTGTTGTCGCTTGCAGATTTCTTATACTTTTTCTTCTACCCTGAAGATGGGGGCGATACGTTCCTCCGAAACGTCGGTTAACACCACATATACACGGTGCCAAATCCCAGAAGACTGCTTTCTTCATGTCGTAGTAGTTTTATAATTTCCGTTCGTCAAGTTTCGCGAAAATTTATAAAAGGAATCGAAGTAAAAAATTTAGACACTATCATATTCTCAAGAATATCTCCACTCTGCGGAGTTGTTAAGGGCTGACCTACCTCATTATCATCATCATCATCATCATCATCATCGTCGTCGTCGTCGTCGTCATTGCTAAAGCTTGCTACAAATATTGGCCTTGAAGAGAAGATTTTAGCAGGTTTCCTTGTCCAGGGTTGGGGAAATCAGGTTTCTCTTCTAACAATCTTTACATGCTGACCCACCCTGCGCACCCATTGTAGCGTCTGCTTTTCAACTACCCTTCTTCTTTCTGGTGCTGCGTCGTGGAAACATCCCCTCACCGCTTCCTACGGGGCGAATATCAATATGACCAGCCATTTCAGGTCCCCTTCACAGACCTCACAGTTCACAGCTGTACCTGCTGCGTCACTGTCCACCGCTCGCGCCTTCGTACGTACTTGGCAGAATATTCTTCCTCTCAAAGTATCTCATTCGAAAGCTTGTAGTCATGGTTACACTTATCTCAGGATGAGCCAAAGAGGGAACTTACGTGATGCGGTCCTGAACTGCCGGACGTCCATAAGCAGCTGAATTCCTAATTCAAAATGAAGTTCACGTTGCCCGCACGGCGAGTTACTTCTACTGACGCTGAAAAAGAGTGATGAATTCGAAAGGCTGCTGAAGGATATCAGGGCACGCGGTAGCGTAGTTAGATGAGACACTATGTTACAAGCCGGAAGGTCCACTCAGCCTCTAACAGAAATGAGTACCAGGAATCTTCCTGGGGGCAAAGAACGGCTGGTGCGTAAGGCTGACAACCTCACCGCCATCGGTGACCCAATTGTATAGAAAATATTGGACACTCCGTTTCACAAACCCATGAGCCTCCACTGCCTCTTACAGGATAACTTTAGTTTTTGCCATGAAGACGGGAGGAGATGGCCCTGATTTGGTTAGAGAAATTATATCAAGTTTATGTGGAATCACTTTCAGGCATAATTTTTAGCTTTCAAGGCTGTTATTGTTAAGATTGTGAGTTTCTGTGTTGTGGCACAATGAATCTCCAAGACTTCGGTATCCTCCCAACGAACCTGCGCGGTGTCAGAACCCAGAACATCACAATCATCCAGGGAAGTCTTCTGACCAAGACCTGAATCAATGCCCGCTAGAATAAGAAGCGAGGGCGTTGACCACTCGGCCGCAACGTTCAGAGCTGCAGACGCTTCTCAGAGCATCCTTAAATATGTGAAGTATGGGGTTGGGTTCATGGGCTCCTGCCGCGGGGGCCTGATGCTAGTACCAAACGGATAGAGAGAGAGAGATAGGGGTGGAGCCCACCCTCCACCTGTTTAACAAGGCTCCCCAGGGAACCAGACGTCCAGCATGACATCTAGGGGAGGGATGTGCAGTCGCCTGTATTCACCCCCCATGGCAGTGGCACTTGACCACAACCCCTCCTCGTCCAACTGACCCCAATTTTATCCACTTGCCCTTCTGCCTCATTTAGTTCTCAGTACTATAGGGGGAGGATCATATAAAAGGATTAACTGGGATATCCTATTCCAAAACTTACATTCTTAAAATCTTTGTATCTTATGTATGGATGCGAAGTTTTGTATCTCGCCCCAAGTTAACAGCATGGCATCAGAGTGGTAGCTCCCAAAGGAAGCCGTGATTTCAGTTTCAACTTCAGGCAGCTTTACCAAGGTAACAACTCGTCGGTAAGCATCAGTAGGAGACTGGGTAAACAGAAATGGCTGTCGCTATGGGAACGGAACGCACCCAGCCAGCTTGTGGTCCAGACGTTATACTGACTCCGATATCAGGGTTCTGAATTTCAACCTCATTTCTCTTGCCTAGGTAAAAATTAAAGTAAAGCTGTCCCTGTAAGAGGCCGTGAAGGCCCATAGGGTTGTGAGACGTTGAGGGTCCCACATTATCTAGACCAGGCATGTCAAACTCAACTTGTACAGAGGGCCACCTCAGCCCTATAAATAATAGCCCAGGGCCGCACTTCAAAATAGAAATATACATTAGATTTTGATACAAGGAAATTTAATTCTATTTATTATTTAGGAATAATTTCAATATAATTACCTAAAGTGGAACACTTGTATTTTGCCCACAAATCAAACATGTAACCTTCTATTTCACAACAGAAATAAGCGATTTCCTATTTTTCTTGAAAAACACGGCGCTCACTTTCAGCAGTTCTTTTTTTTGCTACTTGAATTTTTGAAAGCGATATTGCCCTTTAAAAGTTACTGTACATATACAAGGAAACTCGTAGTTGATAATTTAATGTTTAATTATAACCTTTATACGTTCATCGCAATGTAACATCAGCACCTGTCGCTGTGTGAAAATGACCTGAATGACAATGTACAAGAGACTACAGGTCTAGTAGGAAGGTGTATCTTGTCTCAGTGGTCATAAAAATGAAAGTTTGCTAGCAGCCCATTAGACAATGGCTGGGGGTGCAAGCTAGTTTTGAAGGTAGAAATCTCTTGCACTTATCTGTCAGTTGCCACCCTCCTTGCATTCTTACTACGCCTCCAAAAGGGATTCTTGGAAATACTTGGGGTGGTAAGGCTGTGCGGATTTTAGTGCATTAACCTTCTGAAATACAGTAGTTTGTCCTTCACGAACTTTACAAACCGTTAGGTGGGCAAACCCTTCTGCAATTCTCAGAATCACTTTTCCTGCAGCCTGATAATTTATGTCTGCGTGAGACTTATTGTCTTCTGGTCTGCTGGAAAATTGTCTTTACGAAAAATATTTCTACTAAAATTTTAATTTTGATTTTAATATCAATTAGCTCTAAAAGTTGTGGGGCCGTACTTTGTGGCTATGGGGGCCGCAAGTTTGACACGGCTGATCTAGGCAATCGGCTCACAGATGGCGGTGAAGTCAGCCTTACGCGCCGGCCTTCCTTTACACCCAGGAAGTTTTCCAGATTCCACCCCCAGGGCCATAGTGCCGCTGGAAGGACTAGATAAATTAAAAATAATCGAATGACTTTATCGGGATTCGAACCCAAAACCTTCCCGCTTATAGCATATTGCCTCAACCAACTACGCTACCGCATGCCCCACGCTTGTCTAGGTTCAGTTTTTAAACTGAAAGACAGAAACAGACGTAAAGCAATGAGTAGGCCCTCTGTTACCTTACATCCAGCAGAGGATGTCGTCTTAAAAAGGTGCAGATTTTCTTTCAAATCCACGTGAACACGAAATTTTATTATAAGTGTTTCAAGTTGTTTTTGTAGAAGAAATTTTGAAGTAATTTCCCTGAAGACGGAATAATCTGATTTCGCCGAAAATTGGGTGTCTAAGGACACTGCTGGCGCTATAACTGATGATTGTACTGTTCATAATGGGGAACAAACTTCACAAATGCGGGGTGATTAAGCAGTGTAGTCACCGCTTTCGGGCCACTTTTTATGAAAATCGGTTAACTAATAGGTAGATGCTTACACACGAACTCGTTAGCCTCCGTTTCCTTGTCCAGAATCATCAGACTTCAGTCCTCTTTCAGAAGCTAGTAGTTGCTCAGCCAGTCAAGAAATCTCCTTAAACCTGTTGGCACATTGTTGCTTCCAGAAGAACCCTCCCCCACTTTTGTCCTTATCTCGAGCCACATTAATGCAATAAACACCTTCCCTTACTTTTTAACATCAATTTTGTATGTTATCCTCCCATCTACGGTCTAGTTTTCCAATTGGCCTCTTCCCTTCAGCCTGCCCTGCCAGACTTCTGCATACAATCCCCATCTGTTCTATACGCCCTATATAAACTTTCTTACACAAGGGAAATGACCGCGAAGTGTAATTTTATTTAAACATAAACTGGAACTGCAATGTTGTCCTCTCTTCGTGCACAGGGCGGCCGGTGCCATGTGTGAAGGTGGATTCGCCCACAGCGGTGACGGCTTGAGTCGAATGGCCTCGCTAGGTGTCGGGGGCGGTCCTGTCCCCGTATCATCTGCCGCCGCCATGGCCGCTGCGGGGCTCGGGGGCGGTACTGGGCCTCCGGGTACCAAGAAAATGCAAGAAGATCACATTAAGAGGCCTATGAATGCCTTCATGGTCTGGTCGAGGCTACAGAGGCGGAAGATAGCGCAAGAGAATCCCAAGATGCACAACTCCGAGATCTCCAAGAGGTTAGGTGAGTCGCTCGCTCTATTTCTACCGATGTGTTTGCCGGCTCGTTTGTATCTGTGTAAGTATTCATAGGGCCATTCTGACCTGAAGTGGGAGAAAGGAAACGCGTCCTGTGAGGGTTTTAACCCTTAACACTTAACTCAGATTCTACTTCACAGAACACAAAGACCAACCAGTAAATGCTATTTAGAAAAATAGAAAAATATTTGTTTTTTTTTCTGGGAATTATAAGAAACCAATAAACAAGCTCTAAAACTTCTGTATTAAAACCGTCGCAAACAACTATATATCAATGTCAGTACCTAGTGTTTTTACATACACACAAAATATAGAATACTCCAATTTGTCCGTGGGAACACAACAAAATTACAAAAACCAGCGACTGACTCGATGATGTAAAATATCACTCGAAGAATTTTTATTCTTGTTTTATATAACTTTTGTTTAATATAGTCTAATTTATTGTATTTTTACGTCAAGTATTTTAATATAATTAATATTATTGTATCCAATTTTACTAGTACTGCAGTTCAGTGGTGTATATATGTTAGCCATGTATTTGCCTAATGATGGCTATTAATAGCTGAAACATGTAGCAGAGCCAAACTAGGCACTGACCTTGATATACTCGTGTTGTGACAGTTTTAATAAAGAAATTTTATATTGTAACATAACAGGATGCATGAAATGAAAAAAGAAAAAACAAGCTCTACGAGTACTGAGCTTTGAAGCAGAAGGTACATACTGTGGCCAGTTTGACCGTCGGTAAACACAATTTCCGAGGTTATGTAGTCAACACAGAAACCTCCGTTCCGGGTAGCAAGTCGCTAGGCACGTTTCGTAGCAACGGACAAAACACAAATAATAACAATAATACACAAATTGTTTGAGGTCGTGGTCTCTAGTCAGTTCGCCGCAACTTGTAGAATTAGTTCAGTTCAGCGAATTTATTTTCCCTTGTGGAGGCGGGGTCGAATACCTCCACCGTGACCCTGCGAGTCGTAGGAGGCGGCGAAAAGGGAAGTCGCGAATTCCAAGGGACTCAGACCCGAGAATGATTGCGCTGGCAAGGGCCAGCAGCGTATACAAACGACAGACCCGTCATCTCGCCAGAGAGGGCGCCCCACATCAACAAATCTGCAACTGTCTGATAGTAATGAAAGTGTGGTCGTAAGCCCTATTTTATTCCAAGACACAGTGGCCTACTGACCGTCGGTCATAACATCAGACTCGGACCCAGGCTCAGAGAGTTCATTCGGAAGTGAATCTTCGGTCGTCTTTCGTCACAGCGGAAGAGAAGTTGCTCGGTGTCCAGCGAGGAATGGAGCGAGTGTTACGCAACCATTGATAGTGAGACTGTTGCAGTTGACTGTAATTGGAAAGAAATGTCAATAAATCCAACCATCCAGTCCACAACCCCTTACATTCGTCATGCAAACCCCTTATACGGGACAATATAGTTAGCAATGGGGGTTTTAAGCGTTAAGATGTTGATAATACGTTCCGTTATTGTTTGCTTGTACTTTCTATACACAAAGCATTCAAACTTAAAAAGAAATAGTGAAATAAGGTAAATGCTCGTTTACACTTTGACGTAAATGAAATTATTAAATTTTGTATATATAGGTATTACCTGCAGTTATTTCATTTCCAAGTTGTGTGCTGGGGCCTAACGAGCATCAGCCAAATCTCGGTTCCGCTGTAACTTGTAACCTTCAAAACGTCATTCACAGCTTTGAAGAATATGCATAAGTTAAATAATAATACAGCTAGCTCAGTAGTTTCGTTTCAAAGAATGCGTGTAAATTAACCGCTGGCTCTGTCGGCATGTTTCAAAGAACGCTTTTGATTTGAATATTAAGACGGGGAGCTCAATCGGTATTTTTAAAATACTGCATTTGATTTAAGTATTAATATGGCTAGTTTAGCCGATCTAGCTACTGGATACTGACTGGGTAGCAGGGGAATTGGAATTCAATTCCCACCAGAGATATGAGATTTTTCTCTTTTCCATACTGTCCAGACTAACTTGTTTGTTCGCTGGGCCTCCTATTCAATAGATACCAGCATAATCTTCGGGGATATGAAAGCACGGGCGTGAGGCTGACCACTCACTCCTATCCAGCGACGAATTTTAGAATGTTGGAGCCGTGCCTCCGCTCTCCCATACGTCTTCATGGCGTGGTGCTTAAACAAGAGCAAAGCAGACTTTACCTTTAATCACTATTACGTTTATGTAGATTCTAAAGTGTTCTGAGTATGACGTTTATTTCTCTGGGAATTTCTGTAACAGGTTTGGAAATGCGTGCATGCCGTAAACATGCCTGCCTCTTCGCTCTGTTGCTGCTCCCAAACTTGATAATGCCAAATTTCTAGGCTGTTATCAACAATGTAAAACGGCGGAGAAAAAGTGCGGATAGAAGCAAGAATGGGCGGGAAAAATATTTGTATCACTTTTCTCGGGGCACTTAATTTTCATCTTTGATAAATAATTAGGAAGTTACGCTAGATATTCTGCGATTTTAACCAAAGTTCTCTAGAGAGTTACAGTTATTGAGAGCTACAAGTACTAATGTGGAACTACTTTTAACAAATGAACTGACCTCTCGGTTCTGGCCCACGGATCTTTTGAAATTGTTAGTTCCATCCCGTTCTGACATGGTGATCTCTGTACTGTTATACAGGGCGTTCCATTTTGCAAGCACATACTCAGAACCTGGTAAGCTTCCCGTTAATCTGCGTATAGATGGAAGAAATAAGTAGGCGTCACGACACCGCTGTCTAGAAAAGTCATACATACGCCTGTATTGTTCTGCCATGTTAACAGTATATAACTACACAATTTGTTTATTAAAACCGTCACAACACAACTATATCAAGGTCAGTGCCTAGTTTGGCTCTGCTACATGTTTCGGCTATTAAAAGCAAATTATTAGGCAAATACATGGCTAACATATATACACAACTGGACTGCAGTACTAGTAAAATTGGATACAATAATATTAATTATATTAAAATACTTGACGTAAAAATACAATAAATTAGACTATATTAAACAAAAGTTATATAAAACAAGAATAAAAATTCTTCGAGTGATATTTTACATCATCGAGTCAGTCGCTCGTTATTGTGATTTTGTTGTGTTCCCATGGACAAATTGGAGTATTCTATATTTTGTGTATGCCGGTCACGGTAGCCGAGCGGTCTAAGGCATGCACTGTCTTCGCTCGCTCGGAAGCCGAGATCGTGGGTTCGAATCCCACTCAGGGCATGGATGTTTGTGTGCGTTTTTCTGTGTTTGTCTACAGGTATAGGCCTTGCGACGAGCTGATCACTCGTCCAAGGAGTCCTACCGAATGTGTAAGATCTAGAAAAACCGAAGTGAACGTAGTTCATGGAGGTAGGCCTAGGCAGTGGGCTGTAGTGCCAAGGGAAAAAAAATATTTTGTGTATGTATAATAATCTGTTATTGGAGGCTCGTGATGTACATGTAGTAATATTAATTAAAATGATATGAAAGTAATAGTATTAAATTTTGTTATAATCAAGAGTTGATTTTTGTAATGAAGATATAGCGTATTATTTGCTTACTATTTAGTCTGTGCCTCATCTTACAAAGTTTTGTCCGTTCTATAGGGAATGCAACAAATTTAACAACAGGATGCATGATGTGAAAAAAAAAGAATACAACTCTAACGAAAATTTATGACAAGTATTAAAAAAGTATGTTACCTTGTATGGTTAAGACTTCAAATTTTAAGACTTAAAATTTTGTTATAATCAACTTGGTATTATAGAATTAAAATTTCCCCTTTCTTTGACACAAAGTAGCACTGAAAACTTGGCACGTCTGTACAGATATTTGGCCCCTCGCTAATAACGGTTTGCGGAAGCATTTCTACACATTTTCAATACTTCGCATAATTAAAGCCTGTTGACTCATCATACAGGCTAACATCGCTGGCATATTTACTAAACCGTTGCTGCAACACCTCTTTCACTTTGCTTTATATTCTTCTCCGGCTGTGTGAACCTTTACAGAACAACAACGCTTAATCTCAGTGTTATCTCTGTTAATCTCTACATCTAAACCTAGTCATATTACAGCATTTACTAATGAAGTTAATCTCTCAACTCCCTAAGTACACTGTAAATAATGGGCCTATTAATATAGATACGTGTAAAAAAATAATACAAAGTTAGACTATGCATTCCCACTACACGTACCTACATACATACATATACACAGGTGGCCGCGCCATAGCTCAAGCGGTTAGTCGCTGGCTTCCCACCGCGGAGGCCCGGGTTCGATCCCGGGTCTGGGCAAGTGGGATTTATGGTGGACAAAGTGGTGCCGGTTTTCTCCGAGTACTTCGGTTTCCCCTACCAATCTTTGTTTCACCAAATTCTGCATCATCATAATCACCCGGGGCAGGCTACAATAGGCCAATCAGTGGCTGCCGTGCCGAGTGGACCCAGTTGGACTCCATCCCCCACTACATACACACAGTCTTAACACAATTTTACTACCCAGCAAAAGATGTGTCGCGAAATAATATATTGTATTTTAGTGTTCTGACGCTTGGGAAAATTTCAGGAACACTGAAACACGTCGTGCAATTGATTTGTAACATCTGAAGGCCAGACTAGATTCTCAACCAAGATTTATATTTGGTGTTAAGGTAATTTTTCACTTGTTGGTGGAACGGCCAGAAGGAAAGAACCCATTAGGAAGACCAATACGTAGGTGGGAGGATAATATTAAAATGGATCTTAGAGAGATATGGACTTGAATGTTCTGGTCCAGGATTGGGACCAGTGAAGGGTTCTTGTGAACACGGCAATGCACCTACGGGTTCCATAAAATGCTGTGAAGTCCTTGAATAGATGCACAACTGGCGGCTTCTTAAGAAGGGCTCAGACCCATGAAGTAAGTCGGATGTGTGTAATCCAGTTAGATCGGTACACGTAAATCTGCCTATTCAGCCTTCAGCTCTCCTTTGC